ATGCCTTTTGAAAGAATGGCCAAGTGGGGTTGTCTCCTTTTATTTTATTTTTTCATTGGTGAAAAAGAAGTAAGATGGGTTTATTTGGCGTGTTTTTCTGATGTTGGGGTCAAATGAACTCGACCCACAATGACAATCAATGTGGGAACAAGAGACATTTAACCAAGTACCAAACATGTTGTACTCAACTTGGTCATATGGGACGAATAAGTTGGCATCTTAACCACTCCCATTAATTAAGATCAAGAAAAAGGTTAAAATATCAATTTAGCCCTTTAACTTTCAAAATTATATTGAAACTGTTTTTAAACTTAAAAAATACTAAAATTATCCATAAATTTTAATTTTCAGTATTAAAATAGTCTTTCTATTAACTAAAATCCCACGTCACTTGTCATCTTGCCACAAAATCAATTCTTATTTAAAATATTATAACATGTAAAAGAAAAAATTATATTTTACTATTGTGATATATTTTCATTTACACATTAAATTGATATGTAATTAAAATTAAATGATTAAATTGATACTTTTAATCAAAGTTAAAGGACTAAGTTGATATTTTTCTTCAAAGTTTGAGTACTAAGTTGGTACTAAATTAAAGCTTAGGGACTATTTTGGTATTAAAAATTAAAATTTAGGGATAGTTTTGATATTTTTTAAAGTTTAAAGATAATTTTAACATAAATTTAGAAGTTTAGGGACCAAATTGATATTTTAACCTTTTTCCAAAGTCAACTGCATATGGTTCCCAATTCATGACTTCCTTCTCATTTGAAAGCTACTTTGTTTTTTGAACGTTAATTGCAAGTTGCTTTACTTTTTGAATTCATTAACTTCGTTGAGGAAAATGTGTAGAGCTTGTGCGAGAAAGTAATTAGAAAGTAAAGCCTTAAAAGAGAAATTCAAGAGAGTTGAAATCAAGCCTTCCTCTAGATGCTGGCCCCAAAAAAGGGCAGATAATGAGAAAGAGAGAAGAAGGTTGCATAAAAAATGAAAGTTAAACAAAGGTTCAACTAAAAGAAAGATAAAGCTATTTAAAATATAATTTCCTTCTGGAAGCCAACTGAAGGAGAGAGAGAGGGGAAGAGAAATAGAGAGAGAATATAATCAATATATGGATATGCTGAAAGATAGAGAAGTTGTAATTGGAAGTGCTCAGAATGGAGACAACCCTTTGTCTCTAAATAATATGTGCAGTCGGCTCTGGTCAACTCCATACTATTGCTTTCTCCTGGGTATAGATAGAAGGAAGGGGTGTTGTATATGAAACATATGTTCTTCCCCTTCTTTTAGTTGAGATGGATGGTGCTTATGCCATTATCTTCCTGTTTTCCAACTTGTTGCTGCTTCCTTATCCTTCCCTTTCACTTCCCTTATGTACTGATTCCCGTGAGTTCTGCATTTTAGACTGTTTTTGTTTTAGTTTTTTAAGTTTATGATTATACATGTTGAAGCTATATCTCTGATTCAGTGATTATCTGCCTGAATCCTGAATTGGTTCCTTTCTCTAATATTCTCCGGTATAATTTTTGTAGGGCCACCGGTCAGCCTGAACACCACGCTGAAATTTTGTCCTTACAATGGAAGTACTTGTTGCAACTCTACAGAAGATTCACAATTGCAGAAGCAATTTCAAGCCATGAGTATCTCTGATCCTAATTGTGCGTCACTCTTGCAATCAATCCTTTGTGCGGTAAGCCTTCTTTTTCCTGTGCTCTTATAAATGGAAATAACATGATTATTCTGGTGGGAAAGATTGGAATCTATGTCAAGAGCTTTTATAGGGATCATTCCATCGCTTCTGCAGTCAATCCTTGTAAGCTTAGGCTGTACTTTTGTGTTAATGTTATTTTGATTCCAGTCGTGCATATGCACGCAAATTTTGGATGACTACATCTTTTTTTTGATAAATATACTAGAAAGGCTGTGCAACTTTATAACTTAATGAAGGAATTCAGTTGTTTCAATTGTTATTCTCGAGCCTTTATAAAACCAGCCACTTATTGCACGTTAATAGATCAAAGAACATAACACTAAATTGGCATGCTGAAATTTTTCATTTCTAAATCTGGTTTGATGTTCTCTTTTTTTATTAACTACTGATGGCATGTAAATGAGAAGGCAGAATCTGGAATTGCATAACAATTCCAAGTTTGTCAACATTTTATCTCCTCTGCAACTAGTTTTTCATTTTTGATCTGATGAAAACACAAATTCTAACTGGAAGATCATGTAAAAGGAATTCTATTTTGGAGTTTTTGCGAAGTTGGGATTAACAATAACATACTCATCTTTTGTTTTTCAACTTATTCTATATGTTTCTCTCTCTTTTTTCCTTTTCCTTTCACTGTCTCTAGAAAGTCTCACCATGTTCTCATCTCTTTTCTTGTTGTGGTTTACAGAGATGTGATCCATTTTCAGCAAGTCTGTTTACAATTGCTTCTGTGCCTCGATCAGTACCGGTCCTCTGCAACTCAACTGTTACAAACTCATCCCAGTCCAGCCAAGCAGAAAATAATTTCTGCTCTAAAGTATGGGATACATGTAAGAATGTGTCTGTACTAAATTCCCCCTTTGCACCATCATTGCAAGGACAAGCTGGAACTTCAGTCAATTCCAATTTTACCAAGCTGACTGAATTTTGGCAGTCAGAAACTGATTTCTGCATTGCTTTCGGTGGAGCATCCACTGATGAATCAGTATGCTTTGATGGTGAACCTGTTAAACTAAATAAGACTGGAACTCCTAGTCCTCCACATGGATTATGCCTTGAGAAAATTGGTAATGGATCCTACCTCAACATGGCTGCTCACCCTGATGGGTCCAACCGTGCATTTTTCTCCAACCAAGAAGGGAAGATTTGGTTGGCAACCATTCCCAAAGAGGGGTCAGGAGGAACATTAGAGCTTGATGAATCAAACCCCTTTGTAGATTTAACTGATCAAGTTCATTTTGATACTGACTTTGGGATGATGGGTATTGCATTCCATCCAAACTTTGCACAAAATGGTCGGTTCTTTGCATCATTCAATTGTGACAAATCTACTTCACCCAGCTGTGCAGGAAGATGTTCATGTAACTCAGATGTGAATTGTGATCCTTCAAAACTAGTCCCAGATAATGGTGCACAGCCTTGCCAGTATCAAAGTGTTGTTGCTGAGTACACTACCAACGGTACCGCACCCCAGGTTTCCTTGGTACACATCTTTACTCAGACAACACTTTCTACTGTTGTTTTAATTTATGATTCTAACTAAATCAAGTTCCCTTTTTTCAGGCACAAAGTGCCAAACCGTCAGAAGTTAGAAGGATCTTCACTATGGGGCTTCCTTTTACCTCTCATCATGGTGGACAGATACTTTTTGGGCCTACAGATGGGTATTTATACTTCATGATGGGAGATGGAGGTGGGAATGGAGATCCCTACAACTTTTCCCAAAACAAAAAGTCATTGCTTGGGAAAATCATGAGGCTTGATGTTGATAACACACCAAGTACGTACCCACATTTAATTTCCTTTTGAATGTTATGGTCAACTGACTTTCTCATAATAGAGTGCCGTCTTGATGAATCAACTTCAGCCATAAAAAAAAAAAAAAAAAAAAAAAAAAAAAAGGACTAATAATTCAATACATCCACTGGATTTTCAAAGTTCAAATGACATCTAACTATCTAACAACTCATTTCTGCTGACCTGTTTTGGCCCTTTTGACAAACCAAAGACAATGGGAATCCCATATTATAACATTCATTACTGTCATAATTTCAGTTCTTGCTGTTGACAAAACAACATTACAAAAAGAGTGGTTTTGCTTGCACGTTCTGGTGGTTACCATTCACTTTTTATGACTTCTATTATTTAATTGCAGGTTCAGCAGAAATCAATAAACTCAGTCTATGGGGAAATTACTCAATTCCCAAAGATAATCCATTCAGTGAAGATGCAGACTTGCAGCCTGAAATATGGGCTCTTGGATTAAGAAATCCTTGGCGGTGCAGTTTTGATTTAGAAAGGCCTTCCTACTTTATGTGTGGGGATGTGGGGCAGGTTTGAGCTGTGTCTCTTTATTTTGTAGTGACAATTGACAAGCAACTAATTGTTGGAGCTATGTTTCTAGATGCTTGCATGTGAATTCTTTTAGCCACTTCTCTTTTTAAATCTGATGCAACTAGAATCCTGTAATTTCCAAATTCAAAAGCATTTTTGACGGCTCTAATGGTAACCCTGTAGGATTTGTACGAAGAGGTTGACATCATCAGCAAGGGTGGAAATTATGGTTGGCGTGTTTATGAAGGACCTTACCTTTACACTCCCCAATCATCACCTGGAGGAAATACATCTGCAAAGTCCATAAACCCAATTTTCCCAGTTATGGGATACAATCACTCTGAAGTAAGCAACAATATAGGATCAGCAGCAATAATGGGAGGCTACTTTTATCGGTCTACAACAGATCCATGTGTGTATGGAAGGTGAGTGAGCTATCTATAATCATTAACTAGGAGAAGAGCAAGTAGTTTTGTGCTGGTCACAATGTGGGAAAGCAAAACATTTGTTCTTAGGCACATACTATTGAACAAAATCTTGTTTTTTTTCTTTGTTCTTAGTGCTACCAACTTTCCAATGTTAATGATTAATGTATGATTGGATTTTCAGGTACTTGTATGCAGATTTGTATGCTGGTGCTCTATGGGCAGCAACTGAAGACCCCGAAAACAGTGGCAACTTTACCACTAGCAAAATTCCTTTCAGTTGTGCAAAGGACTCTCCCATAAAATGCAGCTCTGTTCCAGCGAGCTCTCTCCCTGCTTTGGGTTATATTTTCTCATTTGGGCAGGACAACCAGAAAGACATATTTCTACTAGCAAGTAGTGGCGTTTACAGAATTACACGTCCTAGCCGCTGCAATTATACTTGCTCAAAGGAAAATGTTACCTCAGTTCAAACCCCAAGTCCTACTACTGCTCCCACTTCTCATGCATACCGGTCAGATGAACCATATAACAGTCTAATTGTCCTGCTATCTTCTTTGTTCTTGCTTTTACTAGGTTTTGCCTAACATGTCATATAACAAAGCATTCCTGTCTTGTGTAGGAAGGGATAGTGTTTTTGAAGCAAGATTACTGTACCATAATTTTTCATCTTTTTCTTTCTCTTTTTCTCGGATTAATAAAGAAATGTAAACTTGCCCAGAACTCTCATGCAATTAGCAGAACTTTATCAAGGTTGCAAACATGGAGGCATAACGTAACGTGTGAATGCATGTAGACTTTTGAAGCAACAGGAGAATTCGTCCATTTTACAGCGCATCTTATTGAATAGGAAGACAGACTTTTGAGGGATCAGTCTACTCCTAACTTTTTCTTTCTTGGGTATATGAAGGCATTAGACCCAACTCAAGTTTGGCCGAGAGTTAAAAGCAATGTTAACATTAGTTTAAAAAATAATAATAATAATAAATAAAAATAAGGAGCTTTGGAGTCAAGGTGAGTTTTGCTTTTTTGTGGAAGTTATAGTTGGAGGCATAATTGAAAAGCCAAATCTCCTCTGCACATAGTTTTTTTTTTTTTAGTTAGTATCTTCAAGAAATTTTTTATTTTTAATCAACATCTTTTATAATTTAAAACTTTTTAAAATTCAAAAATTAATGGTTAAATCTTTTATCTGTACGTTGATTTTGTTGGTAATTTAAAATTTTTTACAAATTTCATATTATAAAAGGTGTTAACTTGTAAAAAATAATGTATATGATACACATAGGAGGTTTGGTCTAATTGAAATTCTCATAAAAAAAAGTTATGACTTAGTTGGCAATAGAATTTGCAATTTATTTTTTTCGCCAATATTGGATTCTCTATAGAAAGTTAATAAAAAAATAATTTTTTATAGTTTTCCTAAAGTGGGTGGCTTATCTTTGATTGAATTAAAACAGAATTAGTTTTCATGTATGTAAAAGTTAGTTTAAAAACATTTTAATCCTTAAACCTAAAAACCGAAATACACATTCCCAGAAAAGAGCAAGGAAAGTAGACTATTAGATGTAGAATTTGGGCAGTGTGAGAAAAATTAAATTGCTTGTGATTTAGGCTGAAATGGGCTAGGAAAATTGGGCTTGCTTTGGCACAAAACTTAGGAATGAATAAATTGTGCTTGGTGGAAAGGGTCAAGGGATGTAAGAATGTTGGCTAAAGGGAAAGGACAAGTTTTCACAAGAAGAACACAATCACTCTAGCCACAAAAACCTGTTGAAGCAGAAATTGTCAAGGCTGGGTCGTGGTCCAAGGTCATACAATTGCCAACTTTGATGACTTGCAAAATCTAAGGATGTTTTATCAAAAAAAGACACTTAATATTGAAATTAAGATAATTTATAAATCTTAAAGAGAGATGCTCTCAAATAGAAAATAGAGAGGGAACATAAGAGGAGTAATTATTGTCAATGTAGGCACTTGTGATTGTGGAGTATTTATAGCTAATTTAAAACACCAACAACACGTATCTACTTTTTATTAATCCACTTGTCACTTATTAAGTGGTCTTTTTTTAGAGAAAGATCATCATTTATATAAACTTGATATTGACCTTACGATTCATTAATAAGTGTTGAATCACTATCTCAACAAAACCCTAACAAACGTTATGCATGTTGGTGCATTTTGTAGGCTTTTCCACAGCTATAAGTGCACTATCCTCTTATAATGCTCATATTAATTATGAATAGATTATTCATTGTCAAATGTTTAAAACTTACGCATAAATAAGCATGTAATGGTTGAAACATTCAATGATGGGTTAATGAAACCTAACCTAAATCTAATAGGGATGAAGGTGGAGATCTCACCTAATTAGAATCCTTAGCTCTAATCTTGTTAAATGTAGGTCATTAAAAGGAGGGCATTTGTGTATGTACGATGCACCGTGATTGCCTAAGTTTGAACTTAAGATTCAAAGCTATGGGCATGATCCACTAAGGGAAACCTACTAATTTTTGTCAACAGCAAGTTTGATATTTTGTCTTATATATATCTAGTGATAGATAATAAGATCCTAACACCAAGGTGTTTCAATTTAAGAATATTATTTTTAATAAATATTTTAAAAAATTAATTGTTTAATTTTACCAATATATCTAGTTCATGTATGTTAATTTTTAAATTAATATGATATTTATAATTATTTGATCAAGAAATTAGGTAAATTTCTGTATAATCAATTAACTAATTAGATATATTTAATTAATATAAAAATTAATATAAATAATTTACATAAATAAAATATTAAATCTAATCATTAATTTTTCAAAATATTTATTAAATGAATCAGCACTATTATACACTATTCTTACAAAATATATATTTTTTCTAAAACACCTTACACTAGTCTTAAATTTGAATCCGACTTTTAAAATAAAATAAAATAAATGACTATTCACTAATTTGAATAGCATGTGACTTAGCACAAAATATTGTGAAAAATAGTTAAAAATCCTCTTCAACACAGCACATAAGACTTATACACAAAATCATAATTATTCTTTTTCATTATGAATGAGTAAGATTTGTTATCACCCTTTAACTAAAAAAATTAATTTTTAACAAATAAAATAAAAAATAAATAGTTAAAATTTTATAAAAAAAGTTATATGTAAAATTTATATATAAATTAATTCTAATTCTTGTAAAAAAAATTGTAAGTCAAAGTATTGTCCACCTAAATGTTTTTAAGTATGTGATGGATAAATTTAAAATTAATTTTTTTATATAAATTAATTATAAAAAATACAATTAATACTTTTTTTAATCAATGCACATAAAAACACTAAATTTAAAATCAAAGTTTTAAGCTGTTACTGAATTGGTATCATAATCAACGATCTAGTTTAATGATAATTTTCTCTGATTAAAAATAAAAAATACTAAATTAAAGTGGCATGTAAAGTAGGTACATCTCGTT